ATTTTTCCTTAGAACTTTTAAGTATTAAAGTTGTGTTTAGCTTTTTCAGAATTAATATCAGTTTCAAAGCTAAAAATAGCTAAATTGTACCGAGCTTGTGACTTAGACTCTAATGTGTAAATAATTAATTTAGCTTATGTTTTTTTGTTTCCACCTAAAGATATCAGTTTAATATAATGTAATAAGAAAAAGTATTGCAATTCAGATTATGTTGTAAATGCTAACTATCGAGTCCATGATTCATCGATGGAAATTCTCCACACGAGTTTTATAGTCGTTTGATTAATTTTAGTCCAACTAGTTTGAGATTTAAATATTCTCGAGTTGATTTCAAACAGTAATTATAAGCGAAGATGATTTTAGATATGTGATCATGTGTCATTGAAAAGGTGATTGGCAAGAATAGAAGATGCATGATTTGCGCAGCCGAGTGAGAATCGTTGTAAGGTACGGTCTACCATGTTTACAACGTGATCAATGTTGACAAAAACGAGAAGGTCAAAGTAGGAATGGATGTTGGAACGAGCAAGTTCACTAACAATATTGTTGTCTTCTTCTTAAGTGTTTTGTTTAATGCATTATTATAAGTTTTTTTAACTAAGATAATTCCAAAGCATGCATGTACTTTAGTTATAGATCAAGAAATATATAACTGATATTTAGATAGCTTTTCAACTAAAATCACAACGTTACTAATTTACCATCGAACCAAAAAAAACTGAACCAATAAAAAAACAAAATCTGAAACATAAGAAAGTGAACCTAGGAAATTCTGATTTCGATTATAGTGGCTGGTGCATGGTGGTGTTTTCCTTGGTAGGGTGTTAGTTTTCTTTGTCATCTTTTTCGCACCTTTTGGAAACTGCATGCAATTATTAGGCATGAGATACAATTCTCCATAAATAAAAGAGAGAGAAGAAAACCCTCAATATATTATATTTTCAGATGATTTTTGCATGCTACGTCCCTTAGAACATGTTTATCAATGATACTCAAAAAGTATCAGTAATT